CAGATCTTTTAAATGTAATAAAGGAATCGATTTGCATTTTAATTTTTCCTCAGCCAAGGCATTTAAAGTTTGTTTCTCTGGAGTTCTGAAAAAATTCATATTTTTATCATTTACATTTAATGTAAAATTATACCTGGTTTGTGGTTTTTTATATTTTAAAATATATTTGTTTGCTTACTTTTTAAAGCTGTATACTCGTTCTAAGTCCCGCAAAGACGCTTGAAAAAGATCTTCACTCAATTTGTCAATAGTGGACATTTTTCGATAAGAATTTGTCTCTGTTTCAATATCTGCATCATGCAAGGCACTAGACACATCCGCTTTGGCACTAGATACAGGTGTAGGTTCTAAGATATTACTGCTAAAAACATCATTGACGTTTTCAGCTTTTGCCGTTATATCACTACTTAACGTAGAGTCAATATCTAATAGTGAATCTAAATCCTCAAGTGGATTTGAGATAATAGCTTCCCCTTTTCTCTCGTTGGAATTGCCAGTTGCACCAAACATTTCCAGGTCAACAATTGATGAAAATGTAGCAGCAGTTGATGAGGATGCAATCTCATTTGATTCTTCTCCAAATAAATCTGACAGCAGGTCAGTATTTCCAGATTTCAAGGTTTTCTCTGAGGCGTCTTTTGGAACTCTTACATCAGCTGTACTGTCCAACAAAACACTGGTTGACTGATTTTTCCTTGGCGTTCCTACCAAAGTCTTGAATCGCTTTATAACATTTTGTAAGGTGTCATTGATTTCTACAGCTTCAACTATATAAACATAAAAAAAAATTATAAAATCTTTCTGATATTTAAATAAAAAATAATTACCAATTAAGGATTCGTCGCAGTTTTCCAATAACGTAGGTAATCGCTCAATTGTGGGTTTATACTTTTTGCATGAGTGGTACAATTCTCGCATTACCGACATACTTTCACTCTGCTCGTCGACTTCTTTTCCTTCCGATTCACACATATTTAGCATTTCTACTAACAGTTCGACGGTGTTTGTAACTTCTTGTAAAAAGTTTTTATGTTGTATCATAAAATCCATTCGACGGGCATCCTTGTAAAGTAAAAGCAAAAACAGTCATACATGTATTTCGAATGTAAAAAAAAAAACTACACCCAACTCGTTTTTTACACGGATTTGAAGTTACACGGTTAAAAAAAAAATTTTTTTCTAAAAACTTTTTAATCTAGTACGGTTTCAAAATCGCTGTTTTGTAATTATATTTGTTTTAACCACTCGTGGCAACATTGCTGAAAGTAACATGCATAGTAGTAACTGGGAAATCCCCTTATTCGATAACCCTTAACTACACATTCTGTTTGCATGAATTTAAATGTATTACGTATCTACCGTGTAAAAAAAAAAAGAGTTGAGTGTACTTCAAAACTTACTTGTTTCACTCGATTTTGTATTAATAAATTTGCTTTTTTATAATTCTCGGGGTCTTTACTGTTAATGAGCATGGATAACATTTTTTCGTCAATGCCGAGCGTACTTTCACGCTTAGACTCTACAACCGGTGTAGTTGCTGGATCCATTTGGCATTCTAAGCAGAGCTTTTTATAAACTTCTTGTATTTTGACTTTTTGAGGATACTCCGCTGTCCATAATAACAGACACTCAATGATCCTCTTTTTAATAGCTGCTGGTGTTTCACCGCCTTGAAATTTTTTTGAAACAAGATAAACGAGTTCATTAAGAAAGCGGAACTTAGCGACTTCGGCCTGAAATTCTGTACCACATTTACTCATACATTCCTCTAGTAACTAAAACACATTTAATAATTATTAACTATTCCAATGTAAGTACATAATACGAACATTTATCGCCCTTGTGGACTCAGTGATATCTTTGGATCGAACTTTCATCATAATCATTTTTAGCGCTTTGTCTACGAGTGTTGGGTTACTCCGCACGACCATACAAAACATCTGTGAACTTAGTTCATCTATATTTTCGCGACTGGGGTTTGTCGCTCGATCTTTTTGTGGAGATATACAAACAATTATTAATATTTACTTTCTATCTTCACTCAAATTAGCTACATATATATCTTTCATGATAACTCACCTAACATTTCTTCCATAATATTTTCGTTAGTAGTCATATTAACTAATTAAATACTTCTTTTAAACCCTTTGAATTATTTCAGCCTTTATTTTTGCAATGTCTCTTATTCTTGCCGATTTTTGTAATGAATTTTTGACATTTCTTACTGTGACCGAGCATTATATGTATAGCAACTTTCTTTGAACACACCTATCACATTGACATTTATTCAATCGATACAAAAGAAAATATAATATATATTGCGGAAGATATATACTAAATTCATGAATATACATTTTACAAGCTATACTAAATTTGTTTTAATGTGAAGGTCAAAGAGAATAATATGTGAAGTTATTAGATCCAAATTAAAATTGGTTGGACTTTATGGAACTATTTTCCGTTTGGTGAAAGTTACGAAAATTGCAATTTAGTCTCTGCAACTTACATTTGTTTCAATCTATGGGTGCATTTACGAGTCGACAGAATGGTGCAGTGGAAGAGGCAGAGCAACGTAATTCAACTCATGCCTACAAATATCCTCCTCGATCGGGTAACTTTTTTGGGAGCCACTTTATCATGGGAGGAGAACGCTTCGACACACCCCAACCAGAGTCTTATTTGTTTGGCGAAAACGCCGATTTGAATTTTCTTGGCAGTCGTCCCACAGCATTTCCTTATCCCCCTCCTCAAGCCAGCGAGCCAACTAAAACTCTGAAAAGCCTAGTAAATATACGTAAAGAGTCTGTCCGTTTTGTACGAGTTTCACCCGAAAAAAAAGAAATAGTATCCGCCAACACACACATAGATAATATTGATGGTAATATTATCACTAACGAACTTGGTGGTTGTGGTGATGGTTCGACGCAACCCGGAGCTTTCTCTTATAATATCGAGTTCACTTTTGATTCGGACGCCAAATGCGCCATAACAATTTATTACTTTTGTACTGAGGAAGTAAGCCCTAGTGGCGTAACACTTGTGCCACGGGATGGACTAACGTCCGAAACGTACCACTATGAAAAAGGTATAAACCAATTCTTCTCTCAAACGAGTCACACCTTCAATCCGCAATTAATTCCTGAGGATGACTTTGTCTACAATCAGACAAAAGAACAATATCCTGTTGCTATACACTGCGTAGTAGAGGAAGGTAATGAAGACTGTCGGCAATCGCATACAACCATATGCGTTATTGATCACCATCCTGAAACAAACAGTTATGTATTAAGAGCTCTTAAACAAAAAATTTTCGTTGATGGCCTTTGTTACCTACTTCAAGAAATATATGGTATCGAAAACAAAGTAAGTGAATTTTAATGACTAAGTTTCACAAATTTCTGATAATTTACTTTATTTTAGGCTGTTAACAAAAGTTCCATCGATGAAGAAATCGATGACCATGGAAGTGAATGTGTTATTTGCATGAGTGAGACACGTGACACTCTTATACTACCTTGTAGACATTTATGTTTATGTAATTCTTGTGCGGATTCATTACGTTATCAAGCGAATAACTGCCCTATTTGCCGTGCTCCTTTCCGAGCACTTCTTCAGATACGTGCAGTTCAAAAAGGAGTAACCTCTCACACTTTGCATCAAAATACACCCACCTCGGCACCAGGAGAACCAGCTCCATGTGATCAACACATACCGCCCGGCTACATTCCAGTATCACTTATAGAAGCACTCAATGGACCGCCACAGTTTGTGGGTCGACCGCGTCCGAATGACGGCGATATGGCTGATGGGGTAGCTCTCACCGCTTCGATGGTAGCTGAGAATCATAAGGCAACTTCTCCTTTAAAACCCAACCAACGACGTTCTAAAATCAAGAAAAATGTGTCAACTTCTACAAACACGAGTGAAGTGGGTACAATTACAGCTACAGGTAGCACAGCCAATCCTACCCTCTCTGTAGTAGAAATAACAAATGAGAGTAAAGTGTGTAGCTCAGCAAATACAGGATTTGGAGCAGCAGCACAGAGAAAAATACTTCCGGCCGATATAGAAACACAGACGAACTCTAGCAATTCCCAAGATAAAATACACATTGTCAATGAACGTCAGAGTTTAAAGGTGCCAAAAATGAAACGCACTTCAAATTCTAATAGCGCAAATTCTTCGCCATCGCAAAATGAACTTGACACCGATGACAGCGAAAATGAGAAATTATCGCCTCTACTAACCCCTGATAATAAATCCAAATCTGCGAATATTACGCGAAACAAAGAAGTAATTGGAATTAATAATGACAGTGATAATGAGGTTGCTGATGTATTGGAAATGAAATCTACCACTTCATTGAAAAAGAGCGTGACAAGCGGCAATGCTGAGACTGCGGTCACCAATGCAGATGACTCGGACTATTACACACCCGAAGACACACAGAACTCCATTTTAAGTCCCTTATGTCCTGAAAGAGAACGCGAACGACCCAAAAGTGGAGACAAGTTGGGTAGTCTAAAAGGAAACGCAGGGAGTTTTAAAGGCACCAGTAGCTTAGCCAAAAAAAATCTTCATAAAAAATCAACGTCAGTTGGTAACATAGTTGGTCCAGGCAACACCACAGCCAACTCTGGCATACCTATTACTATAGCTGGCGATATGAAGAGCAATGTGAGCTCTCTACCAGGTATGCATTTGCCGGCATTCCTATATATTTAATTGAATTTTCCACATAATTACTTTTTTTTACGCAGACATGTTAGATAATCCGATAAGCGTGAATACAGCATCTACACGCAGTTCTAGTGACAGCTATTCGTCGAGTTCGTCAACAAAGCAGCTACTAAGCTCGAATCCAGCGAATACGGCAGCTAATATAATAGTTGATGATAAGACTGCTTTACAAAACGCAGTTAATGTTTAAGTGATTGAAAGCGTGCTATAAGCCACTTCGTATTTAATATATTTATGTCGTACAATACATATACACTATATTGGAGAAGGGAATATCGATTTTTATTTAAACGGCATATACTCTTCAAAAGCTAACCTAAACTAATTGATTCTTATAATAGTGTTCTGACTTATTGGTTTTAACCGTTTTTTACGCATTGCTTTTTCTCAGTATGAAACTTTAAATTTTTCATTCTTTTAATTATTACACTTCGAGATTATGCCATCTGATAAACGGATTTTATTTCAAGGTGTATTGGACATGAACTTTTTTTTTATATTTTTTCCTTATTCGTCATTGTTGGTCTCCTCCGAAACTTCACCACCATTTGCATTCAAATTAGAACTCTCAGGCTCATTTGTTGCTCTGCTATTGTTGTCATTGTTTATATTTTCTGTTTGGTTGGTATTATTGCTTCCTTCAGAGTTAAGGATACGTTCGCGATTTCGCAGAGAATGAATACAGGCCAACAGTCGTATCATAAAAGCCGCTGGTACTGTGATAGTATCTTTAGTTTGCTCCAACATTATTGCATTACGTTTCATGAGCTAAAGAATTTTTTTTTTGTATTCATTTCACTAACTTATTTTACAGTAATAATTAATTAAATATATTATACGTACATCTTCAGCTTCCGCCTCATCGAAATTGACATGCTCCAACGAGGGAGCCCATATTTTTACATCATAATCTATGCCGGAGCTCGCTAAATAGGGCAGCTCAGGATGAGGTTGTAAGCAGTTCACAACATGTTGATCACCTTGCATTAACATGACTAGTTTCCCGGTGCGTCGGTCCCATGTAAATATATGTCCGCAATCCGATCCCGACATAACATAATTATTACCCCAAAAGTTTGCTTCCTTAATCATGGTACGTGCATTCCTATGCCCAACAAACTTCATACGCAGATAATCGAAAAGTCGCTTGTCGAGTTCCGCAAGTTCTTCGTTCAGAGTATCCGCTTCATCGTCACGGAACTGTATGGCTTGCTGACCAACACTGCTAAGATTAGGCGTGTCGGTAATGGACGTATTTGTCGGTTCTACTGGAGCATCTGTGTTATTTCCTTCTGTAGGTCGACTAATATTATTGACTACAACCGTTGTGGAGATAGGTTGAGTTGAAATCACCTGCGTTTGAGGCATTGTATTATTTAAGTTAATAGTACGAGAGTTGTGTAAACGACTAGCAACTCTACGCCAATAAGCGCCTGAAGTAGATGGTGTCGAATCTAAAGAAACAAAAGAAAAATAATGTTGTTTTATCAATAAATATTCTTTCAGTTGTATTGCTTGTACCGTCCGACGTTTCCCTTGCCACTGCAGCCAAAAGCGTCGCTTGATTTTCACGATTAAGCTCTTGTGCTTGGCCGGAAAGACCCATTCGTGTTCGTGGATCGTTAAGCATACGGGATATAACCTCTGTCATCCGACTCATTATGTTCGCTTGCAATTGCGGACGCACCTGCCCAATTTCCACTCGGCCTCTCGGGTAGTTCTCGGGACGCGCGTCCGGTCCTGTGTCAGACCAATCACCACGCAAGCGTAATCTTCGCGTAACTTGTTCTGCCGTTAAAGTGGGAGGAGGAGATGATCTGTTGACATCAGCTGTTCGCCCCTTTTCGTACAGCTCATTTACGTCTACACCGTCACGACGCAAATCAAATAGATACAAATACTCGGAAGAGTAACTAACCAGCAGTTCAGACTCTTCGGGGCTGTATCTAACGCAAGTTATGCGATATTGTCGATTCGTCATCATGGGAATTGGATAGGCTTTAATCGGCTTAGTATGCCTCTCAGTAGTGGGGATAGAGCTATCGCTAAAGTCAATGACCGACAGGTAACGTCGATCATAGACTCGTACAATCGCATCGGAACTACCGACTGCTACATAGTAGTTACTGATGGGCGACAAATCCATGGCATTAACCGCTGATGGGCTGAATATAAGTATATTATCTTTGCAGCATGTCTTATGACAACTCGATATCTGACGTAAATCGAAAAGACGAACTGTACCATCCTCCCCGCAACTTAAAAATGACCTTGGCTCTGAAGGTATGGTTAGTACTTCATATGTTGTACCACTTTTGTGACAATTAAAAAAACTCAATTTAGCCTCATTCTCACTATGTTCATATAAGGGCTGCATAGGAGCAGTCTCTATCGTAGAATCAGCGCCTGGGATCACAGTGTTCACACTATTTAATAACGTTGTATGCTGCCGACGCACATATGGAGCTAACAACTCGGTATGTAACACAATGCCATCTCCAGAACACGATACTATCGAATGACCATTCGACTGTGGCATAAACCGTGCACTAAAAATATTTGCCCTGTGAGCCGTTTTATATTTCAATAATACCTCTTGACTGTGCGGGTTCGTTATAGCAATGCACTGATCATCGCTACCCGACAACAAATATTCACCCGAGCTGCTCCAACTAACAGTGTTCACACAGCCAGAGTGCACATGTAAACGGCTCATCAAACCCAAACGCTGCACATAGTCCAGCGAGTCTGAAAGGTTGGATAATTTTAGGAAGTTTGGCTAATAGAATTAATTATTAATATTTATATACCTTTGGTACTCGCAATATAGTTATGAGTGGCAGTTCGTGTTGAATTTAAACTTTGATTATTATAAACACTTCTAAAGACGCTGGTCTTGTTCAACCGATCGCGAGACATTCTATGTAGCGTCGCCAAATTCACGTTGCGTGTACGTTTTAGTTATGTAGGCACTTCTTGGAGAAAGAGATGGGCTATAAAGATCCTTAAAGCAATAGAACCGTACGATAACTTAGAGGATTAGTAGAAATCTATTGTTATCGTACTTTACCAACTTTTATTGTAGCACTATAGTCTTCTTAATAAATGTGTACATACATATGTAAGTAAGTGCCTATGTTATATTCACACTTTTCAAATAAGGTGCAAATGACGCTACGAACAATCTACACTAGACCTTATCTTTTGCTATAAACAAAAACTGTGACTAGGAAAATACTATATATTTGTATATATTCACTTATGTATGGAAATATATAGAAATTGAAGAAATAAGATAATCAAATATTGCATATTTCTATATGCATACATACCAAAATGTGCACACTTACATATGTACGTATACGCTCACATTTAATGGGAAACATTTTTTTTCGAGCGTTGTTTATTAAATGGAATTTAACTTATTGTGACCAAACGACTTTAATAGTTTGTTTAATTCGAATATTTAAAATATGGCTTTACAAACTTACTTACATACATATTAATGTTTGAATGTATATATGGAAATATATGTAAGATTAATCAATAAAAGAAAGTTCCGTGACTGTATAATGCAATATAATTCAAAAATTGTTCTACATAATCTAGATGAGTTGGAAATGCCTTATCTTGAAAAAAAAGGAAGCCTCTTAGTATTTATTATTCATGAAAAACTTTGAAAGACACCTGTAAAGAGCGTTTCTACGTATCGGCTACACTAAATGTACTTGTTTATATATGTATATATAGTACTTATGTACATTATAACAATTGACGACAAAAATGTGAAATAGCTTCCTGCTCTTTTAATAACCAAACTTGCAGATCTGTATAGATGTATTCACCCGGGTAAATATTTCAAGACCAATCACTATACACACATACAATACTTATAATTTTGAACGTTTATGTCCTTCACTATTTTTAATTATTTCACCCTTAAATAATTTAAATAATCTTTTATAACAAATTATATATAAATTACTACACTCGAAATTTGATTTTCACTCTATCGTCATTACAAAAAAATCCGTTGTTTATAAAGATTTGATAGTTCAAACGTCCGCAATGACTACAGCAAATTCTTGTCAAGGTTTTTATTAATTTTCACATTGTACGTTTTTATAAGAATTTTAGTAGAAAAAAATCGAATAGTTAAAATATGACTTAATATTTCAATATTTTGTCACTTTTCGCAGCAATTGACCTGCTCTTAGCACATCGCAGTATATTTCCCAAATATTGTGCTATTCGTATTTCTTTCCCCAGTCCCAGAAATTACCAAATTGTATAAATTTTTTCTTTGTTTTTATCGCTCCTTGTCATTTCGTGCAAATGCCTCTTCTTATTACTTCCACACACTACATGCAAACAAGCTTATTTTTAAGTATTTGCTTCTCCATTTTCTATTTATCCTACTGATTTAAAATTTTTGTTTACATCGCTCTTTCGCATTCGTTTGCCATTTTTATTTTGCTAACGTCATTTGGTTACTAATAAATATTGCTAAATATAAGAAAATGGGCAACCCTATAAATTTTGCTTATATCCTCTAGGCATATTCGTTAATAAAACAACATTTGTTTTATTATATGTTATTACATCTGAGCTTCTCTCTTGTCACTTTTGTAATTATTAAAGCATGAGCTGCAATTATGCGGATAATCTGTCACCATATGGTAATAAAGGTATTTTGGGTATACCGGAGGTAAGTCTGAATTGCATTAAAAATACATTTTCACAATTCTCATTAATTAAAGTAGGAATTCGATAGTGCAGAATCGGTGGAGAGAAAATGTGAAGAATTAGTGGACTGGATTCTGGCGGCGAGAGGGCGCGTAGTGGTGCACACAGGAGCAGGCATAAGCACCAGTGCTGGTATCCCCGATTTTCGGTAAGGCGATCAAAAATTTCATTTTTTCATTTGCATTTCAAAACCACATTTTTGCAGTGGGCCAAAAGGAGTATGGACCTTAGAAGAAAAAGGTGAAAAGCCTAAAATAAATGTATCGTTCGAAGATGCCATTCCTACAAAAACACATATGGCGTTGAAATCATTGAGCGAACAGGGTTTTGTGCGATTTGTGATTAGCCAAAATATCGATGGACTTCATTTGAAGTCGGGTTTCTCACGCCAGAACTTAGCCGAACTTCATGGCAATATGTTTATAGAACAATGTAGTAAATGTAGGCGGCAGTTTGTACGGTCGACTGCAGCGAAAACAGTGGGCCAGAAGCCATGTGGTGGGATGTGTCGATCAGGCGAATTTGGTCAAGCACGTTCATGTCGTGGTGGCTTGCTTTTGGATAATGTTCTTGACTGGGAGGCCGATCTTCCAGAACGCGACTTAGATATGGCTTTCATGCATTCCACGTAAGTCATTAGTTCAAACAGTAAAAATACATAATAACTGGATATGTCGTTCAAGTCTAGCCGATGTAAATATAGCACTGGGCACAACTCTACAAATCATACCAAGTGGGAACTTGCCACTGAAAAATAAGAAATACGGTGGCAAAGTAATTATATGCAATCTTCAACCTACTAAACATGTGTGTAAATATATATAAAACGTATTATTTTGTTTTATTCTATAATTAAATATTTAATTTTAGGACAAAAAGGCTGATCTAATAATATCTACCTATGTGGATGACGTTTTGGAGAAAGTATGTAAACGTTTAGGTATCGAAATACCCAGTTATAATGCTTCAGAAGACCCCACCAAAGCTCCAACTGCCCTAAACTCTGAGTGGACTATACCGGCACATACGGTCAAAGAGTTGGAAAAAGAATACAATGCAAAATTAAAAACTTTTAAATCGCAACAGAAGCAGAGTACTGACCTTCATAAATCCATAACGAAAGAGATGAAAAATAAAAAGCGCAAGCACGAAAATTAATGATGCTCTTTGTCTATTATAAGAACATTTTAAGCCGAAACCATGCTAAACTTACAGCCCAGCTTACTCATCCAAATGCATTTATGCATTTAATAATAACTGCTAAAGCATTCGAATATAGTGTATAAAACCTTCAGATAATGTAAGCAAAAATCATTGTAACACTATTTTGTCGAATATCTACCCCTGGAATCAGTTAAGATATGCATTTTTAGATGTTTTAATATACAATTTTTTACTTTAATCTCTCGCTTCAATTTGTGTACAAAAATCATAATACATAAAAACATTAAATGTCATTTAAAAATAGTATTATTACAAATATAAATATCGGCATATTGCCAAATATAAAATGTTACTCTTAAAATACAATAAAAAATAAATTTATAAAATATCTTTTGCGCAATTCTTATTTATAATTTTAGTCTTAATAGAGAAAATGAAAATATATAGTCGCCTTATTCGATTATTACGAACATCAATTGTAGTGTATAAAAATAATGTCAAGAATATCAATACAGGTGGTCTCCATTGTATGTGAGAAGTGTGGAGGTTAAGGTAAATGCGCATCTGAGGGAAATTACTCTGCATCTAAACTTCTTTTAGCTCAACTGAGTACCGTTATTTTTTGTACTTCCATCACTGGTTGTACTCGAACTTTTTTATTTAATTGCATATTGTCCGAATGTCGATTGAAACATCAAAATATCGCTTAACAACTACTTATTTGATTAACAACTCTACAAAAATTGAATTCCGCTACTTTATTCTGTTTTATTGGTTATACAGGATGTGTATGTATGTATATGTATGGATATTTGTATTTGTTATTTTGCATTTCTAATTCGATAATAATATAGCTTTGCAGCATATTAATTTATAAAATATCCACTTTTCTTTAGGTTCATGTTATATATTTAGAAGAATACTTGTAGATATCTATGCTTGATTATCGTTAAAATTCTCCTTATTTGATTCATGAAGACTTTAGAATTAGATTTTCTATGGCTAAAACTGCGCGAGTAGCACCTACAATGTACTCTATTTTATGCATGATTTCAGGTTCGCGAAACAAACAGCATAACTTGAAAACAACGTCGAAGAAGGCATTTAAAAATATGCATGTATTCATACATACATAAGCATACCACAGTATGCACAAACACCGTATATATGTTTATACATTTCCAATTTTATGAATCCAATATGTTCTTCCGGTTTTAGTAAGTGCATTCGACTCGTGTGCACCGTGGTTATTTACTACTAATAAAAAGAAATGAATTTTCACTTTTTGGCAATTGAACTAAGATTTAAGATATATGTATATAATTCAACTATTTCATTCAGTATTTTTATTATTCATTTATCTTTATTTTGAAAATCATTGCTTATTTTTACGCTTAGTTTTCTTATCTATCATAGTCCAACAATTATTGATTAAATACCAAATATGGGTGCTCCAAAGGCTACGGAAACGCTATACAAGCGCATCTACAATATGGAATTATAGTATTTTTTATGATTTATCTTGTGCATGCACTCGGACGCTCGAGTTTGATTGAATTTGCATTGCCTTGCATTTGACTTTCTTTCCAAGTATTTTGCAAATTTTACCGCTATGTATAACTGATCTATCCGAAATTGATGAAATGCAATTTTTACATATTTTTTTAAGCATATATGTATGAGTTTTTGTTTATTATATTTAAATGATTTCTTATTCAATAATTTAGTAAATATTATTTATATGTATATATATATATAAATAATTCCCGTTTAGAACAGTAAAACGATTTTATGGTAAGAACTTTTGGTGTTGCTTCTCCAATTTTATTCGATACTTAATGTTAATTTTACGAGTAGATATCATTTATAAATAAAAAACTACTTGCATACATATATGTACAAATAAATCAAAAATTTCAACAAAATTTAAATTAATTAGAAATTCTTTAAAATAGCTCACATATTATATACTACTTTGTATATTAAATATGTACAAAAAAAAGAGAAAAAATTACAAAATATAATAAACATCGCCGTAGGCGTATTTAATCTTTTGTAAGTATGATCACCGTAGACTTAACTTAATATATTTCATATGTTTATAAACTCTTTAAGTGTAAAGGAGTGCACCTCCATGGGTGTGCGCATTTTATAATGAAATTGTGTATTTATAATTAATTAAAAATCGGTATGAATAAAACTAAACATGGTTTGAAATGGCAATATGTGCATAAAATAAAAATCTAAAAATATATATGTAACCTCTCAATGCTGGTGAAGTTATCGCTGCAATTATAAAAATCAAATTTGGAACCCGATCATTTCTCCCTTTTAAAAATATAGTTTTTTTACGAGTATTTTCTATGTGCTACACAAATGGCAACTTGAAATTGCTCAGCACCAACGTGACGAAGCAATTAAACAGTAAAGTACGCGTTCAAAGAACACAAATAGGACGCAATATAAGTATATAAAAGCAATCATTGCAACTCAATATTTCTATCCCACACCAACTGTTTAAAAATAAGGAAGTGGGAACCAAGTAAAGCACTAGCGCGTGAATTTCTGTCTACTGCCGCTTTGTCAATTCTTGCAAACTCCGGCGGTATTCACTGGTGTTGCAGCAATTGGTGTTGCGCCGTTCGGCAGCTTAACGCTATTAAGACTATTGCTGCTGATATTCGCCAAATTATTATACTTCGTTGTGCCAGATGTCTTCAGTAGAATAATCTTCTGATTCAAATTGCTCGCGTTGTTGTGATGTTGAAGTGGTTGCTGCTGTTGTAGATGGTGTGCTTGTTGGTGCAACAGTGTGCTATTGCCATGATTGATCAAATGTGAAGCAGCGTTCGTTACTGTGTGTAGAATATTGCTTTGATTGCTGCCACCAGTTGCTATTAAATTTACTCCAACCCCACTCGTTGTCAGTTTTTTTGTTAAACCCAACGACGTACTAGATGCTGTATTTCCTAATTGATGCGTTGGTGCAGGTGTTATTGTTACGGTACTAGGAGCTAGTGCATTCATAGCTGCGGTTTGTGTTGATGCAGCTAACGAGGATGCTGGCACGATTGTTGTCACACCGTTTTCATGTTGTATGGTATTGTTATTGTAGATTGCACGAGATGTAGTTAATGTCGCTGATGTTGCCTTGTTGTGAGAATTTCCTACTGATATGGCAGATATTGTAGCGGGGGTGACTGGAGAGATTTTTAAGGATGGTGTAGCCGAACCAATACGCGAGACCTTAAATAAATATTTTATATTTATTTTGAGTTATTTGATTTTTTCCTGTACCAAATAATTTATACATACATTAGTTGCTGATTGTTGTTGTTGAAAATGTTGCTGCATAGCCCCAGCACTGGAATTTGCCATCATAGCCAAATGTTGTTTGCGATTCTGCAATAATTTTGCAGCTACCTCATTACCAGTAAGCATTAAATTTTGTGGCTGACCATGTATCTGGACGCCACTTGCCAAAAACATCGTATGCACATTGCCTATTGCTGCACGAGCTGCCAGTTTTTTCTCTGTATCCTCCTGCTAAACACATATTTTTAATATATGTACATATTTTACTTAATGAAAAATTATTATAATATTCGAAATGGAACTTACCAGAGGACTTGCCGATTTTCTATCCTGTAGATTTTCGTCGAATCCGGAATCAGAGGAATTGTCACTAAACTTTGGTGCAGTCGAGGATGATGAGGAAGAAGCAGCCGAAGAGTTGGAGCATGTGGATGATGGTGACGAACCGACGGGATAGTATTGCGTACTCTGCTGATTGTGCCCGCCCGTTATTGGTTTTGAGACCACATATGATTTTGTCACGTTTCGCATTACTGGTTTTATATCTTGGAAATCGCCAGCCTTAATACGCTCCACAGTCGCTGACGAGACTGGTGAGGCTGTGGACGTAACACCAATTTTTTCCAAAGAATGCTTGAAAATTTTTCCCGCCTTTATTTTATGTAAAAGCCTATTGCCCCCGATTATATTTGTTGTTGGTAAGGGTGGTGAAATTGTAGTAACCTTGGCAGTTGAATGCCTTGGCATTTGCGCACTCACAGATGTTGCATTGGAAGAAGAAATGCTCGATATGGCAGATACATTTGTGGTATTTATTGCAAGCGGTAATGATGTGGAAACGACAATATTTGAGTTGCTTCCAATCGATATTGCTGACGAATGCGGTGTTGAGCCACTGTGATTTGCAATGTGTGTGGTGCTTTTAATTATAACGGGAGTGTTTGTTGATACTGCCAGAGATTCAGTCTTATTTGGGGAATTTGTAATATTATTATTAACAGCGAGATCCACTTGAGGAAAACTTTCCGACTGTCGTTTGAAGAACAAATGATGCTTCTTCAATACTGGTGTACGATTGGTTTTTATTGCATTCACTGGATTGGGCAACGGAGGTGGACAGACGCTAGCCACCGATGGCGTAGATAATTGAACTACGGCTGGCATTGTAGCGATGATTGTCTTTTGCAAAGTAGATGACAGTTCCTCATTGGTCGATGACTTGGTCTCAGTATGCAAAATTTGCGAGCGTTTATGTTCCGCGCAGACTTCAAATTTTTCAACATCGAGTAGTATTGCTCCAGCTAACGATGGGCACACATACATCATGCCACAGCAAGTCTTACGTTCTTGCCATTCCGTTTCATCAAAGAATTGTGTTTTATCACTGACCAGTTTTAATGTAGACCGATTTCTAATAGGAGGCATACATTTACGTCGTTTGCTTCCTGTTTTTAGAGGACTCTTACAGCGATTATTGGAAACATTACTAATATTGGTTGCCCTTCGGGAGGCACGGTTTGCAGATGCACGGGTTTGGGTTTGAAATTGCACTGTTGAATTATTTACGTTTACATTTCCTCGTTTCGAATCGTAAACATCACCGCCTTCGCCGATATCTTCATAGTCGCTATCCATTGAATCAAGTGTTGCAGAAAACAAATGTTGGTCCTTCCAGGTTTTTAACTCAGGGACAGAAGATCGTCTACATTCATCAGTTTTCCTTTCGGAGCAGGCGCCGGCGCCTAATTTGCTTTTTTTACTCTTTTTAAATATTTTGGAAAATTTTTCGGAAATGAGTGACTTTGAATTGGGTGCTCGTCGAGAATTTGTATTATTACTTGAAGCACTATGCGCTGTAGCTTCCGAATCGTCGCGACTTTTTTTGTGTTTTGAGATGGATTTTGTTCCGGGTCCCGCACGAGCGTCAACCACCTATAATAATTAATTTTAGATAAACAATTACATATACTGATTAATCAAAAAGAAAATACGTAATTTTTAGTTATATATATTAAACTTACATGTCCCCAATGTCGGGTGCTGCCTCCTGGAAGCCGTTTAAAACGTTTCACCAGCAAAACACATGCATTGCAAATTTCTCCATGACGAGGATATTTCAAGTTGAAACATTTCATTGAGTCCTGTTCGTATTTACGTGAGTCAGTAAAACGTGAACTACTCGACTTTGCACGACAAATGCAACATCCTTCAGCCGAGCGATAAACTCGTGGTTTGTGAAACGAGAACATTTTATTATATACTTTCCGATTTTTTTGTCTTTCTTTAATTTTATTGGACTTTCTTATTTTAACCTTCCGATATGATTTACAAGTTGATTTTACGATGTTTTCGATATCTTTGAGTTACATCTTTTCGCAAAATTTCTTACCTGAAAAAAAATTTAATATATATACACATATTAGCATTGTTTTATATTTGAAATACAGAAAACGGTGGTATTCTAGTTCAGAATATATTTTTGAACTCTCTATTAATGGCTTAGAGAAATTTCTTAATAACTTTTTAAATGCATGGGTAGCAAAACAAGTAGGGATACTTTCAATAATAAACTTTTTACAATTTGATTTAATACAAAAAAGTTATCATTTAGTTGTCATTCGCTTTTGAATTTGAATATGAAATCGCAGCTTTGTTTTGATTTGTGCCGTTTGTTGTCAAGGTGTAAAAAACTTGAGAGCACAATTTGCAAAAAGTGTTGACGCAATCAAGCTTTTATCTCTCTCTCATTCATGCATTTATTTCCTTTTCAGCTCTCCTTAAGAAACTGTTGAGCTATTTGTCTCTTTTGCTCTTTTAAAACACACAATACAAATTGTAAATGAAAATGTATACCAGTTAATAAAACATCTAATCCAGCTATATAACATTTTGATCACAAAATCACATTCTTTATTTGTCACAATTTTCGTGGGGAATTCTAATAATTTTTTTACCTATTTCTATTACTAGTATTCTACCGACTGATATCGACAACAAGTAGCTCAATAAAACTAACAGTCTTCGTTGACAATTTAATAATTTTAAATTTAGCATTTTTGCAATGTTTATATACATTCAAACATGTATGTTCTATATGCACATAGATATTTCTATTCTATTCACAAGTAATTAACATTCACAGACATGCGTGCACTATGTTAGATTAAATAGTAGTTGAGCACTAACAGTGTTATATTCTCTTGCCTTTTCGTTTTACTATGCATACACACCATGGATGTCATTAAATTGAGTATTTTGTCCAACTTTTCTCTTGGATCACTTGTCTCTTGCTGTAATTGTCAGTTCTTAAGTTAAGATGTTTAAAATTAGCCCCAATGCATGAAAAGGTAGTAATGCAAGAAGTGAAAAACGGTGCAACACAAGAGTGGCAAGTAACATGGTTGAAAAACGAAAAGCTGGTTTTCTGTCCATACGTTCATGAGAATGCATACTTAAGGTTGTATGTATATAAACTCACAAATATCTGCAGCAGAAAAAATGAGAACCTAACAGGGTTAGGGAATGAACAAATTGATGTAATATGAATTTCACCGTAAAATATATACATATACCTATGCATATTTAAAATATATGTTCGCTTCAAAATCAAAATATCGCGACAGGTACTAAACATTTTTCCCAATATATACCTATTCTTTTATTTAACGGCTTCTAAAATAGTTATTAACACACAATTATGAATTGCCATGACTAAAATTGGATTTTCCCTAGTTTCCACAAAAATGCATAAAATACTGCACACACAAACTACGTACCGTATTACTCAAATTAACTATTTTTCAGAAATTGTCTACAATTTTAGTATTTTTATAATTATCACTTTAAGTAAAAAGTAATAGTAACTATTTTAAAACGAACAAGAAATTCACATCCGAACACCACAGCTACTAAGAAAAACTGAATTTCATAAACTACTCGTATATTTGCATCTATACGCAAGTTCACTTCTGCTTCGACACTTTTGTCCGTCCAATAATTCTCCACATTATTACCGCCGTTTCAGACTGTTGCGGCGGTTGCGGACCCAAGAAAACGAAATACACAAAAATTCGAAAAGTCACACAAAGAGGAATGTATGAATATGAAACGCGTAAAAAGAATAGAAGAAACGCGCGCACTCACACCACGGCCACTGTTACGCGACGGTCAAGTAGATATACATATACGAATATCCGGAAACAACAAAATACTTCAAATAAATTCACTATATACTTACGCATATGTTATAAAGAGTTATAAGAGTAAAAACTGAAATGAAGGCAAATTTATCACAAAAGCGAACAACTGACAGTATTATTTACTATAGAAAGACGTACTCTTTTTTGATTAGTGTCTAAATTATGAACAGATTTAAATACATGCATATGTAATTGGTACTTTGTTGTCGCGTGTGTAAAGTTGAGTTGGCATATTTAACAAAGGAAACTGAGGAAAATACGCGACCAACTCAATTTTATGTATCATATACGATTTTACGGGGTCAGTAAAAAATGTCAGAATCGTGTGTGAAAAAGCACGAAACATTACCGTTTCTTTTCGACTTTTTCGCATTCGCTTTTAACAAGTTTTATTTTCTGCTTACACCAGAGAATGGAATAACAAGAAATGAAACTGATAAGCAGCTGTTCAGGGAGAGTTTGGGGTCGTTCTCTCTCTTCCTCGGCAGAGAAGATAAAGAAACGAAAATGGTAAACATAACAAAACAATGAAATAATGTACTGCCGAGCAAAGAAGCAATATCAATTCTCATTGAAAGATACACTACCAATACGAGTACGTGATTACAGTGCCGTAGCCGTACCAGAATTCTCTCTATTAAGCATTAACAACGCAGACTCAACTTTAGCTTTGTACTCACTCACTTCAGTGGGAAAACGTAAACGTATATAGACAACTTCTGGGCTATGGGGGGTTTTCACTTCTCCAATGCCATACTTTCTTCAAATATATACATTTGTAGGCATATCCACGTACACACACATATATCTTTTACACTTCCCTACAACCATCCGTACATTTTGTATCACTATTTGTGTAAATGTAATGCAATCTTTCATTCCCTGACATTTATATATATATATTATTGGAGAGATTATGTGTATACAAACGAATCAGAAAATGGCGCAAAAACGAGCACATGTGTATGTACATTTGTCGGGCTTAGATGACATGAAGTCAAAACAAGTTAATCGGTTTCTCTTTTGCAAGTATTTATTATTCTCGCATACATATCCGCATGATTACCTGTTTTTTTATATACATGAATCGTATTTAAAATACACATATGTATGTATGTATGTATGTCCATTTATACAGATTGTAGCAATCAACAGCCTTCAATTAAATTTTCACATTGGCGTTTATTTTTTTGCATCTGAACTAAGAAGGAAGCTGCCGTGGTGACACCTTTTAGGAACAAATGCTCAAAAACATAATCAACAGTAGCCCTCAATATATTTTTATGCATATGCGGTCTTCTACTCATTTCAAGTATTTAAACATACATATGTGGGTATGTGTATTACATTCTAATAAGAGTATAACATTTTAATTTCTATGTTTAAAGTAGGTATACTCTCAACCGCAATGGTAGTGGAGTTGTACCCTTAAGGACTAACACTACAACCAAACCCACAACAGTAAGGTATACGTAACACGACTGAACCCGGATTTACATATGTACATATATCAGATAAAGGACTGTTAACTATGCAGAATTCCTTAAAATTATTATCGCAAGGTTTTCACCATTGACAATTGCAACCACTAAAATAGCAGACCCGGCTATCTTGAAAAGAAGCTTTAGATAAGTCGATTACTATTTCTGTTTATATTCTTTTCTCTTAGTATAGACATACATATGTACATATTTATTTGCCTGCAAAATATTTACCTCACAACAATACAATATTTATGTATATTCTCGCAGCCGCGCTCTACACTCTGTTTTCGTGCGCGCTCATTGACATTTTGTTTTCTCTTTCTTTTTTTTTTATCGGTTTTCGCATTTGTTTTTGTCCATTCTATTGTGGCTTTTGACGACAATTCTCTTGGTATGGACATTTATTAAAGTGTCTCCCTTCAATCCCATTCGTATTTTTTCTACTGTTTCTACCATATCAAATGTAATTGGCACGGATTTTTAGTGTGCAATTTACCTATTCATTTCTTCACTTTGTTTTGTTTGGCTCGTGTTCATTCTCTGCAGCTGCATGCAAAAACTGTACTTGCGACGATTCACGACCGACCAACTATTGCGCACAACCCAAAGCGGAACAAATACTAAGCTTTACTACTACACAAATACATGTAAACATCGTTTGCCCGTTGAGGTGTCCATTTGTATTGTATTTGATATGAAATTCTGGTCATTTATGCACACATTTGTCCGTTAAGTGAAATAACGGAAAACACACAAAATGCTAATCAATACGTCAAGGGGAACTTTAAAGTTATACATTTTTGCATTTAACCTGAATGAATTTAAACATTCAACTGTGTTTGCAATAGTAGCAGTTTTGATTGTTAGTTAGCCCGATGTTTTCGTTTTTAGGCCAAAGTATTGTTTTACTTTCTCTTCTTCTTTCAATAGTGTTGCCAACCTTCCTAATAATGCACAACATTCGCGTTGTAACAACTGAAATATTCAAATATTCAACTGAAAATTGTATTTCGCACTTTTATCAAATACCAAATTCCAGGTGATATTGATAAAATACCAAATACCTACAACAAATTTAAAAACATTATTTAAAAGAAATAATCTTCACCACCAATGGGTATAAAAAAAAACATTTTGTCAATGAACCACTTATAACATGTCACAATGTCATTTTAACAGCAGGAAATGTGGACATGTATTCATATGTTATTGATTAAATATTTGGATACGCACGAATATCATGTCGAGTCTAACGGCAACACTGCCAGTAACAAACGGCCCTGGCACTTTCCAGTTTTGCGACAAGCATACATACACAGGTGCATATTAACAATCGGCCTACAACAATCACCATTAAGTTGGTGAGTTACACATAGTTTACTTTTGTTTGCACAATGCGCATGTATAACTATTGAATGCAAATTTGTAATAAAAAAAGTAAAAGCTACTTCTCAGCGAACTTAATATAACGATTATGCACTTAGTTAACTTTAACAACCGCTTTTATGAGCACGTCAAACAAATATCAACATATGTATCTCTAAACGCACATTGTCACACAAGTTCGTTGAAACATACACATATTGACTAGCATATTAAGCGTAGTCTGACACATGCACATCAAAAAATTAAACTCAAATTCAGTTGATTACAATTTTCAACAGGCAAACGTGGGTAGGTACATAACAACCCAACAAACGAGTCTGTCAATGAGAAGCATTTAACACGGGGCTCTCTGTATCCAACTAGTGTTGACGCCAATACTACTAAATATGTATTAAATAACAAGCGACTATGAAGAGCGAGTGGAAACGTAAGATTGAAAATCACATTGAAAGTGTGGACAACACAGCTAAATTGTTTGCTATATACTAGAACTAAGCCTCTTTGAAAGAAAACTAAACCGGCTGTAATGCATAATATTTGCAGAACTTACAAATTGCATTTTGTTTAAGTTTTGTATAGTGACTTAGAAATTATTAAGCCACGCATTTATATACATATAGTATATGTGTATGTATTTGCGAATAAACAAGGCAACGTATTCTTACGTTTTCTACACACCCACCTGTACGTACGTAGAAGCAAGCTCTGTTATACACACTTTTATATATCTAAGTTTATATACATATATCTATAAGGGTGCTCAGTAGGGCGGGTGTATATAATAAAAATAAAACATTTGGATGCATTTTTTCGTAAAAAATACGTGTATGTGCATATTCGGTAATTTTTTAAATTTTAGATAATCTTAAAAATATCTAAGGAGTAAAAATAACTTCTGCTTTAATTCGCATTTATAATTAAAAGCAACGCTAAGGTACATCCAGTAAAATGACGAGACACTTGGATTTAGCTTTAAATGTACCCCGGGATTGCCGAAAATAATAACTTAAATTACACCAAAAACGAAAGTCTGTGCAATAATAAAAGTATTTCAACACATAATTTGGCCATTAACCACAAAATAAAAATCTCACCTGTAACACGAAATCAATTTTTGGTTTTGGAACTTGTTATTTTATTATTATAACTGATTAAATGTTCGCTATTTCAATTTCAGTTCTTTTAAAACACTTTATAATAAAATTTGTACATGTACTTTTTGTCATCAAAATTGAAAATTAGATATACAAATTACACCCATACGCGTCCAACACGGAATTACTGCCGTTTCTGATGGAATTCACTACGGAATGAATTTTTAAAATGGTCTGCGCACTCAATACAGAGTATATACTCTGCTCAATGCATATTCACTTTTCTGTTGATTTTCGTATCACTTTTGGTTTGTTTCTACATTTGGTTGGATTCTTTTATTTCTTGTTTATCAGCTGTTGCCTATCTACCGCAATCTCTATTTGTTTCTTTTCTTATTGCTTTCCTTTACTACTACTTTGTCGCATACGTTCTTTAGTTCATTTCTACATTTGTTGGGATTTTCTTTTCGCGTACTCGAGAATGATAGCTAGATAATAGCGAGAACAATAATTCATTTCGCTAGTATTGTTATTTCTCGTTCTTGGTTTTTGTTTTCATTTCTTTTCGCTATGGTCTAATTATGTATTTATAGGTAACTTGTTTTGGGCGAAATTCAATGACGCCTATCAATGAAATATAACGTTTTTAAGTCAATTAATAATAAAATAATAATTAAATTTTATTAAATTGTCCCATTTACTCATGATTTTGCTGCTATATTGAAAGCAGATTAATAGCGGGATTCCTTAAAGCTTTGTGTTCTCTGCCGTAACCAGTCTCTCGTCTATATTTGAGGTATTTTAAGTTAAAATCTCAATATGTGAATAGATACTATTCACTAAACAGTCTCTAGCGTTAGTCTCAAAATATTGCCTCAAATTTGAGACCTGGTAGTTAGCGGGTCACAAAAATAAAAAGAACTCTTGTCTGCCATTTTGAATATACTGAATAGAGATCATCATAGATATKAATCGATGGTCGTTTTTTTTATATTTTGTAAGCAGCTCAAACACGGAAAGATTAAAAATAAATAAATTTTATATAAATTTCGTAAATATTATGAAAAAAAGTGAAAATATATTTACATTTTTATTATTTATTTGACTATGTTATAGAAAATTTAATATTTGTTAAAAACATCTCTGAATAATGAAATGTAATAGATTTTGTGACTGTCACAGAATAGCAAAATCGTCTCAAGTCTCAAAAATTGTCTCTAACTTAAAATCTCAAATTTACCGTGCGATTCTGTACTGTGATATAGTATCAAGTCTCTAAATTTGATAGAGACAAATTTTGAGACTTGAAACAAGTTTGCTATTCTGTAAGTGATAGTCACAAAATCTATTACATTTAATAATTCCGAGATGCTTTTAAACTTGAATGAAAATAAATATGTCGATAACTAAAATTAAATTTCTATAACATAGTCAAAAAACATAATTATCAATCAAAATAAAAATATATGTTGACTTTGTTTCATAATATTTTCGAAATTTTTGTAAAATTTATTTATTTTTAACTTTTTCGTGTTTGAGTTGCTTACAAAATATAAAAAAAATTATAATCGATTAATATCTATGATGATCTCTATTCAGTATATTCAAAATGGCAGACAAGAGTTCTTTTTGGTTTTGTGACTTGCTAACTACCAGGTCTCATATTTGAGGCAATATTTTGAGGCTAAAGCTAGAGACTGTTTAGTGAATAGTAACTAGTCATAAATTGAGATTTTTCCACAAAATGTCTCAAATAGAGATTAGAGACTGCTTACAGAATCCCGCTATTAGAGACATGAGACTGTATCAGAGTGCAGAATCGCACGGTAAAACATACTCAAAATTTCCAGTCTTATCGAAATATCTGGCAACTACTTATTCCTAGTTTCATATATTGTGATTTTTTGCGATTGGAGTGTTAATAAATAATTAATTGTATATGACAGAAGTTTATTGAAAACTATTACAAATTAAAATGTCAGTACCACCGAAGTTTGCTGGCACCGGACTAGAGGAAGTGAATATTCCAGGTCAAGCATATTTAAGAGAAGCCCTCACATCGTGTACCGATCCCTTGAAGGCGATTGAAAGCTTTCAGGTATGTGTGATAAAATTCGACAGCACTCGAAATAATTATTTTCGTTAATAGCTGGAAAATGGTGTACTATTGCCGTCTTTGCGTCCAATGCTGCCATTGCTTGACTTACATGGTGTTCGCCGTTTGGACTTCCACACATCCCTAATGGAGGTGAGTAGTAACAAGACATTGCTGGAGCGATAACAAATAATTCTCTTCGTAGGAGCTGCGAGAAAAACTAATTGCTCATATTAATGAATTGGGACAAAAGGATCCACGTGAACGCGATAAAAAGTTGAGAGAATTGTTGATTAAAAGTTTTCCTGTTGTGCGAGTTAAGGCGCTCCGGCCTGTAGTAATGGCAATTTTACGTAATACCCAACATATTGATGACAAGTATTTGCGAATACTGGTACGGGATCGCGAACTTTATTCGGATACGGATACAGAAGTAAAAAGGCAAATTTGGCGTGATAACCAATCGCTGTTTGGTGATGAAGTTTCACCACTTCTGTCACAATATATTCGTGAAAAGGAACATGTATTATTTGATCACACCAATTTGAACAATCTATTCTTTCATCCCTCACCTAAGGTTCGTCGACAGGGGGAAGTAGTGCAAAAGTTGGCGAATATGATTGGACAAAGTGTCAAACTGTACGACATGGTATTGCAGTTTTTACGAACACTATTTTTACGTACCCGTAACGTTCACTATTGTACTCTTCGTGCTGAATTATTGATGGCACTCCATGACTTAGAGGTACAAGAAATTATATCAGTAGATCCCTGTCATAAATTTACTTGGTGTTTGGATGCCTGTATTCGGGAGAAAAATGTGGACATAAAAAGGTCACGTGAGCTGCAAGGTTTCCTGGATAACATAAAACGTGGTCAAGAGCAGGTTTTAGGTGATTTGTCTATGACTTTATGCGATCCATACGCCATAAATTTTCTGGCAACATCAGCAATAAAAATTTTACAGCATTTAATTAACAACGAAGGACTACCTCGAGATAATACTATTCTCATTTTACTATTGCGTATGCTCGCTTTGGGATTGAGTGCATGGGTAATGATCGACTCGCAAGATTTTAAGGAACCAAAGCTCGACTGCCAGGTTGTAACAAAGTTTCTGCCGGCGCTAATGTCTCTCATGGTAGATGATCAATGTCGCAGTTTGCACTCGAAACTGCCTCCAGATGAACGTGAATCAGCACTTTGTACAATTGAACATTCAGGCCCAGCACCAGATGCAGTTGAGGCCTATATACAAGAAAGCTCCGTAGCCAGTATATTGGCTATGTATTATACCTTGCACACGGCACGAGTAAAAGACCGAGTTGGCGTTTTACGAGCATTAGCCATATTATCGGCATGTAAGGACGATCGAGCATACGAGGATCCCTTTTTACATTCACTTGTAAGTAGTGTCAATGCACAAGAATCACTTATATTTTAAAATCTTGTATTTTTAGATCGCTTTGCTAATTCCAATGGCTGAAGAATTTTCTGCTGAAGATTTCTGCACAACACTGTTTGATGAGTTTCTTTTCGTTGGATTGACTCGTGATAATGTTACAAGACATATGTTAAAACTTTTGTGGTATGTGCACAATAAATTACCTCCAGGAAGATTGGCCACACTCATGAAAGCTATACAGCCTACAACAGGCCATAACGAAACAGTACACAAATTGTATGAAACACTACAAGAACGAATTGGTACAACCATTCATGAAGGCCCAATTTCAGAGCAGCAAGAGGTGGATTTCGACTCACCCTTAAAGAGTGTACCCACCCCAGGGCCGGCTTATATGCAATAGATTTTAGATAATTTTTATAACATAAATTTTTTAAATAAAGTAACCACACAAAATATTTAATTTTTGGTTCTATTTTTAGAAATTATATTTTTATATACAATAAAAAACGTCCACATGCCTGTTGAAAAAAGCCATTTAAATACTATTTAACTTTTGGGCAGTCGTTAGTTTTTTTTTGCATTAAACTTTTAATAACACTGGCATCTTAGAGCCTATATCGAAGCACTATTCTCCTCTGGCTTTGAAGCACATGATTCCGTCTCTTCGTTTATTTGTGGTATTGCCATAACGTCATCGGTGTCCATACTGGCGACAACAGTTCTCGTCTTGGAACAAAACTGGAAAATCTCGTTGTATTCCATGTATAAGCGTTGCCACTTTATGTGCGCTTTAAGTACACCCAGTACATTTGCCAGCAGTTGGTGCTTTGGCACAGACTTTTATAATAAAATATGTATTAAGACATTATAAGTTATCAATAGTTGTAATATATTTGTATTACCAGTATTTTGTGTTCGTATGTAACGTTTAGTGGCGACGGACCCATCAAATCATCAAGTAGTAATCGCAAATTTTTCTCCGTTCCACTTATTGCCAGCTGATACGCGTACATATTGTACCAGAATATCAACTCGTGAGAGGAGTTGATGGCTTCCGATAGCATAATCTGGTTCTCAATGAAGCTTATTTTTGCACTAGATTGCCAGTCATTTATATTCCTACAAGATGAGTTATCAAAATTTATAAATACACATCGTTTTGAGGAAAATTGTAAAGTATCCCTTATACTAATAATAGTTTACGCTCTTTGATATCTTACATGTCTACGGATGTGCTTTTGGTAGCAAATGTGTTGGTTGCAGTTTGAGTCGAGATGAGTGGATACGAAAAGTAATTTTTCTGAAAATCCTTAGGGATTGTTGTTTGTAATCCATGTCGGATTATAGGATCCTTAGTGCTAAGTACAAGCCAAGATTGCAACTGCTCAGAATAAGAATAAGCATTGCCATTGGAAAACAAAATCATTGGCACTCCATCCTCCGTGATTACAAATTGTACAACGGTACCGAGTTTTCCTCCGATTTCATGGCAGGTCACCGCTAAAAAAATTCGTCGTTCCTCAATGTGCCAAATTCTCAAAATGCCACAATCTGTCACAACACCAACCAAGCGACCGCTGGGACACTATAATAAATAGGATAATACGAGTTCCTAAATTACTTCTAAAAATATTTACTAAAATTCTACTTACAAAGGCACACTGTACTGCTGCTGTGCTTAAACTTATAACCGGAAGTTTTGCTTTGCCTGTGTCCATATCAACTAAGCGTAATGTTCCATCCAAACTGCATAACATAGCGTATTTATGGCAGAAATTCAAATTGACAATTGGGGAACCTTTTCGAATGAAAATAAAGGTAAAAAATTATGAACAATTTTATGAGAGTTAATTATACGTACCTACTAAAATTTCCCAAAGTTTCTCTATTTGTGTTGGTCTGACTATATTGTAACCAGTAACTTTGGCTAGGAGGCCACTGCCAGCACTTAGGTACCCATTGTGAACATGAACTCTGTGGTCTAAGGCAGTTTTTTGAAATTCACATTTTGTGTTTAGGTTTATAAGCAATTTGGGACCAGTTGTGGAGGCTTGATATGGCTTAACTCCTGAGAGCAATGGATTAGTTGTTACAGTTGATGTACCAGTATTAGAGTTTGCAGATGGTTTTGTAGTAACAATGAGCGGAAAAGCCTTTACTGAACTATTTTCGGCCTTCAGTGGCTGCAATTTGGCAGCCGATAATGTAGTTTTAATAAGCCTCGCATCCAAGCATCTGGAATGAAATGTTCTATATAGCGAAATTCTGATCATACAATACATAACATGAAATATACATTTCTTGTGCTTCGGTTATCATAGGCTTCGCAAACGCGCCCATTTGGGATGGATGCATTTCGCTTGATGCAACCTCTGCTGGTGTTGTTAATGAACTGTTCGAATTCCAAGATTTCGATGATTGCGAAGGAGTGTCGTGTTCGCTTTTTGATTCACTGACAATTTAATGCAGACAGATATGTTACGAATACAAAGAGTTTTTAGTTTCTACTTACGAGACATCTTGACTCAGTGCTACAAACACTGGGGTAATACGACGTTTGCCGTCTGCAGTTCGTGTTTCTGTTTGTTTTCTAAGTGCATTAAAGTTAGTCGTTTCTTCGCTTCCGCTTACACACAAAGCAGGAGCAGATGAGTCATTAAGTCCGTTTGAAGTTCCAACTGGCACTGTTGGTTGAGATGTGATAGAATTATTGCTGGTGGGGTTTGCTGCAGGCAGTGTAGGAGCTTTAGGCTTTTCGTTAGCATCCCTGAGAAGTTCTGGATTTTCAATAAGTATGTCAGCTGTACCTGTGGATCCATTCTCAATATTTACGCTTTTGCCATATGTTTTTTGGAACAATGAATTCTGGAAATGTATAGTATTTATATGGGCATGATTTACTAAACACCTTCAACCATACTAACCTTTTCTTCGTCTGAGACTGGTGTGCCCAATTCACTTTCAGAAAATTGTAAGCAAGCAACTGTTCCATCTCCGCTACATGCCATGAGAATGCACTTGGCTGGGCCCCAGGAAAGATCCAAAATACTGTCGCTAAATAAATCATGTATAACTACTAAAGGGCGATTAAGCGCTGTCATCCATACTGACAGCGAACGATCTCTTGATCCCATCGCCAAGCAACAGTACTGTAATTTTCGGTCTGCATTGGACGCTTGTCGTGTTAAAACTGTATCATGAAACCGAACACATGTTACGGCTTTTCTGTGCCCTACAAAATCCTTGTCGCATTTCCATCCTTCGCGTTCAATAATGCGTGCTGTAGGACCACCTCCGTTCATAGCATGTGCCGACACCAAATATAAACCGTCTGGGGACCAAGATAGTCGTAGTATGTGAGTCGTACCACCGCAACCTTTAAATGGTTCTGTGATGGTGCTACTGCAACTCCAATCACTTGTCTTCCACATTTTAACACTGCGATCATCACTTTGTGACGCCAAAAATTTGCCTAGTGGGTCCCAAGCAACCCCTTTCACCAAACCAGAATGTCCACGTAACGTAGTAACCATATTGGGAAATGACTGTACATCCCAGATTATAATGGTGTTGTCAATACTGCAACTGGCTAACCATCGTTCATTAGGTGACCACGCCAAGTCTAGAACATCGCCTGAATGTGCGCGGAGAGTTGCTGCACATTTCCATGATTCTGCATTTTTTTGAAGACCACCACTACCAAACACTCCACTGGGTCCCTGTAATTTGTTTAAAAAATCTGAGTGTTTATATAATATATTATGACAGCTATTTTATTTGACAATACCTTGGACATTTTCCAAATCATAACTAATTTGTCATCTGAACCAGACGCTAACATTTGCCCATTTGGTGACCAACGTACGCAATTTACGCAAGCCAAATGATTGTCCAATTGGCAAAGCATCTTAGGTACGCTTTCATCCTGCTCAATCTTTTCTGATAATACCGGTAGTAAATTCCATATCACGACACGCCCTGAATCCAGTCCTTGGCCACCAGTGGCAAATTTGAGGCATTCCTGGTGTACATCGACGGAGAATATTGGTTTATCTTTGAGGGATATTACACACAGAAAGAAAATGAAAGAAAATTTATATTGAAATTAAAGCCATGTGATAGCGGTAAAAAAGTACTTACCGTCATGATGTACCCAGCTTGGTTTCAGTAGTTTCATTAAACCAAATAAATATGTTTATATATTTTAGATATAAACTTTTGGTAAAATCTATTCAATTCAAATCAACTTCTCAAAATTTACCCAATTTTACTGATACAAAATTTTTATTTTTAACTTCTTATCGTGTGTTATTTGTTCTACACATTGTTTTTATTTTTGCGCTTTTTGATTGTTGCCGGTAGAGAACTCATAAACTCGAGTCAATTTGTAAATTGTCAAATATAAGCGAAACCCTAATAGGGTTTCACATCAACCAACCCAACAGGAAAATTTTCCTTACTTAAAATCTTGTCTGTAATAATCAAAAATAATATGATTGTGTAACCCAGAATGTATTTTCAGGTTATTTATTTTAGATACTGTCATAATTATAGTTATTTTAGAATTTGGTATAAGATTTTTCTAACAAAAAAACATGTTGGCAAAATTAGAATCAATAGATAACGATGAAAGAAAAATATCTCAAGATTCCGTATTGTATTGTTGATATAAATATAAATTAATTTTAATTTTATAAATTTAAAAATAAGATATTCACAACTTAAAAATTGGTGGATTATTTTGTTTTCAGCAAAACAAATTTATATGTTGTCGAACCCTTCGAACCTTTTTCATTTACATTTTTGACATTTTCTTCTAAATGAACTGTCAAAAACACTGCATTAGCTACAATCACTGCTTTATTCACGTCAACATCGGACATATGCACATTTGACAAATAAGATAGATTCATTCCAAGATTTGTGGCTATGGTTGAATATTATAATTTATGATTAAAACTATCGTGTTGAAGTACCACAAAAAAAGAAGAAACTAAGTGTTACTAATAACTGAAAGACTTTGCTGCAATTTGAATGAAAACGGACGGAAGTTGTGTGGTGACCAACTCGCAACAAAGTCAGCGAGTACCGAGTGGCTACATTGCATTGGCGAGGAAAATTTAAAACCGATAAACAAAGAAACTATTTAAATAAAAACCGGATCCCGACTTGCAAAATGCAAACTATTAGTGAGAAATATAACCCAAGCGTTTGAAAAGATTTCCCACAAGAATAAATCCATATTATTTGTTATTGTCAATTATAGAACGTGAGCGTAAACGCTATCAAAAGGATACGGCACCCGCAGATGATATAATTACATTAATACATTTGGTACGCCAGAATCCTGCGCTATATAATTATAAATTAGAGCCTAATCAAAGACGGCGGATTGATGTGTTAAATGGTTGGGCTGAAATAGCGGCGAAAATTGGTAGTAAGTAGTAACTTTAAATACACATCGTATGCTTGTGTTTGCAAGCGAAGTTTTATACGTAGTGACGTTGAGGTGGTGATAACAGTATTTTTTTCCAAATAAGATATATTCTTTCCATTTTAGACCGATATACTGTAGAGGAGTGTCGACGTAAGTGGAAAAATTTAAGAGACACTTATCACCAATACCGACTTCGTAAACCAAAACCTGGCGATGGCTTATCCAAATGGCGTTATGCCAAAGAATTAGAATTCTTATCGAGTATATATCAGCCAAAATTGAAATCACAACGCCATCAGAATTACATGATAGACACACAACGTTCGGACCTTCATGACCTTGGTGGACCCACCGTAGCAACTCGATTAAAAGAAGACCATAACGATGGCGGAATTGTGCACCATTCGAATCCGGCCATAACCCTAGTGAACGACGATGAGGCATTCATACTTACCACTTACGAAGAGAGTGTCACAGATGATGTTACAACTATTGATCATGGTGGTCATGATGACCCAAGTATATCTTCTCATATGGAGCTGACACACGACGATGATGATGTCGAAGATGTACAAGAAATTGTTAAAAACGAACACGGTTCGTCATTGGACGATGCAACTGGCACCGAAGTTCATTACGAGGAGGTGTGCATGTATGAAGAGGCAGGGAACGGACCTAGTGTAGATTGCGAGACCATTATTGGCTCAGGGGGCGTAGTGCGCAGCTCCTCGACAGATTCAAAAAATTTTGCGTATGAGAAATACAACTTTTGCATTTATATTTTTGTAAAAAAAGATTTCTTTATAGAAGTACACACCATCACCATCACACGCACTCTACAGCTGATTCATTCACCTACTCTATGAATGACTTTTGCATCGAATCAATACCCCATTTACCTAGTACAAGTGGTGGAGGTGGTGAAAGTGGTAGCGGCAGCAGTAGTAGTAGTGTAATTGGTGGAGCGAAATTAAAGAATTTGACTACTTCAACAATTGTAACAACTCCCGTTGTAGTGAGCAGTAGTTCTAATAACCCTAATGTGGTGCAACAACAAACGGCAAATTCGTCCATTTTACAGTTACAGTCTCCCACATCTATGATGTATAATGGACAATCGCGCGAGGAGTTGGATTTATTTTTCGCTTTTCTCAAACAGAAGATGCAACGTTTTTCAAAGGAGGAAATAACTTTGATGCAAGTCGAATTTCTGAATTGTGTTCAGAAACATGAAGCTGAACGAAAATATAACGGAGGCGGTAGCGGAGATGCAACAATATTACATCAATAAGCTGAAATTGAATTTATTATAAATTTAAAATTTATATATCCAACAAGGTTTGTAATTAAGAATTGTAAATGTTTTGTGTATTTAATGCGCATCATAATGCTTCTGAATAATATGAAAACATAATGAATAAATGTATTTAACAACACATACATAGAGGATTTCAATATAGCACAGGATCAAAAATCAAATATATGTGTGAATTTAAATAGATCTCTGTTTATTTGTAGTTTCAAATATGAATATCCATTATTGATGAATAATAACCAAAACTGGACCGCTCCATATTCACAATTGAACTTAAGAACTAAAACATTGAATCTGAAAATTGCAAAACATATTACAATTTATGTTAAAAAGTCAGCTTTCGACAACGAACAGCGAGCAAATTAGTAGTGATGATATTCAATAATTATGACTAAAAACTACGATATAAAGAAATGTACAAGGAACATGGCTTTCTTCTATTCAATCATTAACAAATTATTCTAACACGTAATTAAATAATTATGATTATCTATTTACACACAACTAAAATATTGTACTGATATATGTACATATCATTATGAAGGCGGAATAATGGCATGATTTTCGGCTAATCTGACTGCATTGAGGTAAAGTTTAGTTTGCAGCCTTCTACACAGTATACTCTATGTATTTTCGTTGAGTTTTGTTATATATTCCGTATTAAAATAGATCACTGTAATCGTAATATCATCTCGATACAAACGCACCACATCTTGCGGCAACGAAAGATAGTAAGCTATTTTCGAATGTTCAATGCCGTAATCGGTGCCCCCCAAAGCATTGCGTATTAGATGTGTTGCGGAATTCTGATCCAGTGGTTTCCTTGCGCGTCCAGCTCTGATAAAATATTAATAAAATTCATTACATTAAATCTAATATTTTTTCAAATCAATACATACTTTCGTTCTGCCAACAATTTGGATACGTCAAGCAATGTGACTTCGCCAGGTGGTAACTTCATAGGTTCCAGTACCTTTTTGGAATTTAAATGTTCGCCAACGAGACCTACAACTTGGGATGGTGTTAAAAAATCCCACAAACCATCGCTAGCTATAACCAAAAATTTATCGCTGGGTCCTAGTACATGATGCTGTACTTCTGGTAGCGCCGTTAGATAAGGTGGTGTGTAATAATGTGGTGGCACTGCATGCTCCCCAAAAGTAGGTACAACATATTTATCCATTATTTCATTACTCCATTTGTAACGGAAGTCTCCTAGGGCTCGTAAAGGTGCTAATTGACCCAATAAACGCTCATTACGTATGGCCGTGTCGTGCTCCTCTTTGGGATGCTCTTCTAGGATGCGTTGAACTTCCTTAAGATTGTCGGCGTTGTGCTCGTTGTTCAATTTTTTAGATTGCCACTGTCCGGTTTCAGGACATTGTATACCCAAGACTGCGCCGCAATCACCAGTGCTGGCAACATGCAAATTTAGCTGATCAATATGAGCTAGACAAGCCACAGCACCTAAAAGTAAAAGCTCATTACCAATTTTGATTCAAGGCATATTTTAAACTTACCTGACATTGCGACCGACATTGTGCGCATATTTGTGTGTATTAAAGCTTCTTTTGATAAATCATCATCTAATCGCAAAAAGGCGTTACTTATTTCAAATGCGACATCTTGTGCTGCCTGTCCAGAAATAGTTTGCACATATTCCCTAAAGCTATTTTCGTAAATATTTTTTATTTCGGAGACGAAATCCGCCTGTTCACCAAAAAAAATTATAAATAATATTTTTGGGAAATTTGCACGAAACTTACCTTATCATTATGGCATCTTAAAAATGATTGACTGTTGTAATCTTTGGTTATTATTTCATTCAGTGTTCCTCTGTCGATGGCCCCAGCCGCCACATATCGCAACAAGCGTTTGGAAATAACTTGAGAGCAGGCGGGTCCACCATGGCCGTCAAATATTCCACATATGAAACCTTTAATAATAGTTTTTAATTGACATGTTCAATTTCGGATTTAGTTATATAACAATACAATTATGTAAACCACTAACCATTTTTGTGTAAAAATGTAGCTTCGGTTCGGGAATCTTCACAAGGTTTATTCGAACTTAATTGATTGGATTCATAACTACGTACTATACTGTCCTCTTCGGCAAACGTTTGGATGTATTCGTTTTCTCTCAAAATTAAGTTGATCTAAATGGAATTGATATATTATTACCTATATATTTGCATAAATCTTTTGTATGTCGGTAATTTAGATTACATCGTACGGCGAAAGGTTTGGCAGCTGTGCTTCTTGGCGAATTGTAATTCGGAATTGACGTATCGCACCTCCAACATTGGAACAGTTGCCTTGTCGTATACAGACGACACTGTTACGAAGAAGGAGTGTTAGCATCGAAAATTTACTGTATAATGCTAGATGAGTGTAACTTCCAAGTATAAACAATTGTTACCCTAAATGTATGGAATCTTCTTTTTTTAAGGCAATGTTAGCCTGTGTGGAGAATAAACAAACCAAACAAAATTTAATACTTAAGAAAATAGAAAACTGGTTCTCTTTATGATGAGGTTTGCAGAACGGATTCACCTTACCTTAGTGATTTTCAAAATTTTAATTATTTTATACTGAACACAATATTAAAATAATAATATTGTACATAGCTTTTAAACCGAAACTTTGTATCTTTATTAAAATGCTATATATGTATAAAACAAAATGTCCCTAAAAGGAATTTGTTTCTTTTATAATTTTGACATTGCCATATGAAACAACTAGTTGCCACATCAAAATTTTTTAGCGAATATTTTTAATGTTGCCATCCTGATCATAAATAGTGATAAATGGCGATAATTTGCCAGCACAAATCAAAATCTGAGATACCAAAGTTCACCTCACGTTATCGTGCGACTTTAAAGAAATTGAATTCACGACAGAGAACTTTAATTATAATTACTTGTATATTATAGTAATCTCTTGCACGAGAATGACGTAAAAATGAAATAAAATATTTCAATTCTCGTAGCGTGTGTACCGCCTTACTGTACAAAAATTGTAATAGAGTTATGTGTACACCTGTTCTGTCATAATTTTTTGAGGGTGTTTACGCGTTTTCTTCTTCATGCAATCAGAGAGATTTTTCAATGCAGAGAACGAAAATTGTAGAAAGGAAAAAATGAGATTCGATTGAAAAATTATAAAAGGACGTATAATATGAGTGAAAATGTTTTGTCTAACAGAATTTATTTTGTGTACATTTGCAATATTTTTTGGTAAAATGTGAAAAAGACGTAATGAGAAACTTGTTTCCAATTGCCGTCGTGGTTTGAGCTTCGTTCGCTTCTTCTTCGTTGTCTACGTCTGCTTTGTGCTAGATATTTTTATTTCCATCACTAGCTAAATTTCCACCAATTTTTCTTCAATACTTCAAGTAGAAAATAGTGAAAAAATCATCTATTATAAACATCAAAAAAGATACAAGTGAAATAGATTTCTTAAATGCGAGTGTTATACAAATGAAAAGAACTTGAGATTCTGTGTTTTTGTTGTTGCGTTATGAAGAAAGCTAAACAGTTTTCTCTGTGTTGGGTTAAATGATTGTTAATTTTCATTTCATTAACATATCGGAGTAAAGACGAATATACATTCGTATTAAATGTAGAGCCAACAGCTGCATTCGCAGACAGCGAGCAAAGCAGCAATAGCAGAGTGCGAAGGCATTTCAACAGCATTAAAAGAAGCAACGGGAAGACAGGTAAAGTGGAAGAGAGCACAAGTGTAGTTCATATGAAGACACTTTGAATATGCTATATGTGTGTGTTTGTGATTGTTTGCTGCATATGTTTGGATTTAAAAATCATCACAAAATAACAATTTAAAACGAAACGTGTAAAACTGCATTTTCGTACTACTTAAATTACACACTTATGCAAAAAAGATTAAAAAGGAAGGGCAAAAGCAAAGTTACAAATGCTGGCTTATAAATAAGTGAAAGCTAAAGGTTGAGCTATCCTATAATACTTGAGTGCTTTTTTCTGCTCTATATGTACATATATAGTATATGACATTGTTTATGAAATATTGATATCTGTGTAGGTAAGTAGTTATTTAACACAACTTCAAAATAGGTGATTTTTCTTATTTACAGGATATCAACAAAAATTTGGGTATGAGTGTGTGTGTGGGTTTACCTAATTTGACCTTATGTATATGGCACATCTTTAAATTCCTTTTTTTATTTTGAAAATAATACATATATTTTAATGGGTTTATTCATTAATTTTGTAAACTACTTATACTATATATACTATGTATCTATTTTGTGAGTACATGTACATATATTATACTACATACTATATAAAAGTATAAAACACTTACTAATAGATCAAATAATGATTAACTAATGTGATTATAAAAGTATACCTGTAATGCTGCCAATTGGTTATGTATTTTGGGATATCTCCATCTTATATACTTTCTTCAACTAAAATTACTTAAATTCACCCACATATCCTCTAGATAGTTGTATTTACATAGTTTTTCTATAAACATTAATTATATAAGATTATTCTAATTCTTCTACCCAATAATATCATGGAGACAGCACCTCCCAAAGCCAAATAGTATATGAAAGATTTAATTTTACTATTTTATTTTCTTCTCATTTCAGACAATAACTTTGACTTTAGGTTTTTATCATTATGTTAATTTAGAAGAAAAATGTCTTCTTGTGTAAATATTAAGCAGATACCATTCATAGTAGTGGAGCTTTGTTAAGTATTTGTTGTTTGGTGCATTTGACGTCACCTCTAGGACGTGGTTCATGAAAACCTATTTACCGGCAATTGTTTTTCCCTCTGCTTGATTGCTGATAAAAATGGGCGCAACCGCTTCGACGAGCGGTTATCATATGCCAGCCACAAGCAGTAATGCTGGAGGTAGTTCCGGCTTGTTGCTGCCTTCTTCAGCTGCTCTGACAGCCGGCGCTTCTGGTAGTGGCGGTGGTCCAGGTGGGAACTCCTCGCTTATGGGCGCAGCAGGCGTTGGTGTTCCCCACTTTCGAGAGCAACGTCGTAAGCGAGTGACGGGTTTCGCAACGCTAAAACGGAAATTCATACGTAGACGACGTTCTTCAAAAGCCTGTGATCATGCGCGTGTTTTGCGCGATTTCGTATCCGACTGGACCCCGTTGGAACTTGCAGCGTTATGTGAAGAGTATGAGGCGTTAGCTGCTCTAAGGGATCTATCGGTAATACAAAATAACGTTACACTGTCACTTTCTTTGATATTAATTATTTCTACTTCATTTCAGGTACAAGCGGAACTGGCGCGTCCACCTGCAACAACATTTAAACAAGATTTGGCGGCAATTTATGAAATGAAAACTTGTACAGACTGTGATCTGGTCTTTCGTGGATCTATTTTTCCAGTGCATCGATCTATACTCTCATCACGATGCTCGTATTTCAGGGATTTGCTAGCCGGGTGCCCAGGCTTTGGTGCACGCATTTGTCTTGAATTGCCAACTTCGCCCATCGATGTTCAGATGTTCTCCTCGCTATTACGTTTCCTGTACACGGGTGATCTTTGTCCACATGACCCAACCATTGACATAAATCTTTTGCGACAGTTGAGTGATGACTTCGGAACACCGAATCCTTTGGAACATGATCTTCGGTATTTGCTCGAAACAGGTGATTATGCCGATGCGGCTTTAGTGTTCACAGTTGAGGGCAACGATTACCATCGACCCGATTCTGGTAGCTCTGAGTATGGCTTTAGACCGAAACTGGAACTGCCCTGCCATAAGGCGATCCTTAGTGCTCGCTCACCGTTCTTTCGGAATCTAATCGCACGTCGGACGCGAAATATTGATGAATATACCGAACGTGCATTGCATGTTCCAACGAGGATTGTGCTTGATGAGACAGTAATACCGAAGAGATACGCGCGAGTGTTGTTACATGCTATCTACCTGGACACAGTCGATTTGACGCTAATCTTACGTGGTGCTGGTTCTGGTAATTCGGCGGGATCACTGGGTGAAGTACATGCGTTGACGAATACGGGACGTGCGCGACCTACGCCGCTGGAGGAGGCTATGGAGTTGTACCAAATTGGAAGGTTTCTCGAATTGGATATTTTAGCACAAGGTTGCGAGGATTTGATACTTGAGTGGCTAACTTTAGACACGCTGCCCACTGTGCTTAGGTGGGGCTCACAGGTAAGTAAATAGTATATCGAAACAATAAATAAGTGGAATTAACAATTTTTTCTTTATTTATTGTTTATAGCCCCATGGTTCGGCTTGGGTTTATCGACAAGCATGCCAATATCTACGAGAAGAGTTTTCAGCCGTTATTGCGTCACCGGTGCTGCATCAACTGGATAAGTCGCAGTTGATACATGTGCTTCAGAGCAATTTTTTGCAGGCATCAGAATTAGAGGTTCTGCAGGCTGTTCTTAAATGGGGAGAACAAGAACTGATAAGACGCATGGAGGATCGTGAACCAAATATCGTGTCACATACGGCACATTCTGTGACAAGAAAAGGAGTAAAAAAACGTGATCTTAGTGATGTTGAGTTGCGAGAAATTCTTTCAGAACTGCTGCCATTGGTTCGGATGGATCACGTTTTGCCACCCAATAGTGAGGTTCTTGCGCAAGCTATTCGTCGAGGTCTTGTGAGTACTCCACCTTCGCACATGATTAGTGACGATCGGGAAAATTTGCGTGTTAATGCGTGGATTCGGGGAGGAAAAAACCAGGGTCTTTTCGTGCGGCCGCGTCTTTTCATGCCATACTTTGAAGAAGTGAAAGTATTGCTTGAAGATCGAATGGCGTCGTCTCATCACCAAGCAGAATTGATGCGAATGCGGCGGTCGCGACATCTGCCCGATATTCCCGACACATTATACATGGTGTCTCGTATAAGTGCAGCTAAAAAACCCAGCGTACCTACAGCGGCTGCAGTGACTGGCAAAGAGAGTGTTAACATATTGGCTGCAGCAGCTGCCATACCGCCCCCCGACACACAAACTTTGGCAGCGTTACTCAAACGCGAACATAAGCTACATCAATCACCGATGTGTCAACGTGCACTGCTCTTGCCTCTTTCATCGAAACATGAAATCGACCGACAGATTCGCTTGCGAGTAGTCCGTGAGTTTAATCTGCCCGATGCAGTCTCAGATTTGCTTGAAACGTCATTGCTTAGCAAACAGAATGCTGCCAATGCAGCAGCTGCGTCAGCTGCGTCAGCTGCAGCAACAACTGTTTCAGAAGACAGCGGTATAACATCAACCACTCAAACTGATCCGACACTTATCGAAGACGATGATGAAACGCCCCCACCTTCTCCGGCTGCTGCAGGATCCGTGCCTCGACTGACCGTAGCGGGGGGATATCTTTCAACGTCAGTAGGCTCATCGGCAGCCTCTTCCACTTGTGGTGGTGAAGGCATCCAACCATGTTATAGTCGTAATTTAACATTTCCACGACAGCACCCGGGCGGTTTGCTGGGTATGGGAAGTGGCGTCGGTATGGGAATGCTGGCAAATGTCGGTGTTGGGGGTAGCGGAGCTCTTCAAGCAAACTATGCACGACTCTCAGCTTCTGTACATCATCGAAATGACCTGCCAGCGTTAATTACGGAAGGAGATTATCGTTTTCCCCATGGTAGTGCGTTGGGGATTAACATTGGAGCTGAGGGCGGTGGTGGTGCGGTAGGATGTGGGGATGGCGGCAACGGTGGTCATTTGTCGGATATGATGCCCGATGTTGCAATGGCAACTGCTTCATTGGGTCAACTGCATTTGGCGAATAACTCCAATAATAGTAATGGAGATATGCATGAAAGTCTACAACTCGACTTGGGAGACGGATCGAGTCACATAATGGGAGGTGGTGCACCTGGTGCTGTTGTACCAATGGGATTGCGTGGCATGCAAGTAATATCAATGAATTGCTCATATTTTTTATTAGACTAAATAAATTACACCAAAATTTTTTTAGCACCAGATGCCACCCAGCAACTATCACCACTTTATGCAACGCTCAAATTCACCATTCGACATGTTAAGGCAAGGTCAACATTCACCAGCTCCACATCCACCACCTGGGCCATACAATTCAGGGCCGCCCAGATTCTTATAGAGTTTGCGAGTGGCCCCCGATCAGGGCCTTTATTTTAGCATGCCTTTTTGAGACACAGACACAAGAAAATGAATCCAAAATTACATAACGGGCATAGTTTTATGTTACGTCAAAACTGTGCATATCGAGGCTTGCATCCGGAATAAGGAACGTTTACACAGTTTCCGTTTTAACATTATTTTTATATTGAATGAAGATAAGATGGTGTCCACCTGCAATGTAAATCGTTATGACAAGTGGAAAAGTTTCCTTATGCTCAGTTTCGAAGTGAATAGTTTTTTTTTTTTTAGAGAAAAACCTGCAAAAATGACCGGACCAAACCCCACATACATTCTTATGTACTTATCGCTATGTGGAAAGATATAGCGCTACTCTAGTGTGCACTTCATTAATTGTCGTCATATAGCTACGAATGTATCATACTTACCTGTGATTTTTGTTTTTCCATTCCATTCCACAAAATATTCCGTTATCCCTTCTGCTTATTCGTGTTTGTTTAGATTGTTTGAAAAGGCCAATCATAGAATCCTATACAATTATTCGATAAATTTGGAATTGTAATAAGTTTGGGAAATAACAAATGTTGCTAGAAACTTTGCTTCATATTTATATGAAAACCAGTTTTAAAATACAAAGACTTCTATAAAGTCCTAATCAAACAAAAATAATTTCACATTCTATGTTATCTCATATTTTTCAAAGAAATGAATTTGTTCAATATTAGTCTCACAAATATTCCATTTGTATTTCATTTTCGAAAAGTGCACTATATCTTTGCCCATGGCAGTGTAGGTTACATCACTCGAAATTCAAGAAAAACGCTAAAATAAGGGACGCACATAAAATGGAGTGAAGATGAAAAATAATACAACACACTCGCACGTTAATAATTAATCTAAGTTGAGTCGACTTCAAACGTCGAACGAAGTAAGGTGCGAAAAGGTGCTTACTGCACCTTTTGATATTGTAAAGTAATGTAAAATGCGCAAATGTGAAAGAAAGAGTTCGTCTAAACTAGCGATCAGACCAATACATAAAATAATTAATGGGTAATTGAATTAAAAATTAAAAAAAAAAGAAAACAGTGTAGGGGTTAAAAGTGACTTGTGGATATATGTACATAATATATACATATAAAATGTCTGAACTGGCGTATACACTTACGAAAATTATTTACTTGCAAATAATTATACGTATAATTGTATAAATTGCATTATATATATATGATGAACTAGATAAAAATGTTAATTTTAAGCAAATAAAACACAATTTGTTTTGAGAGGTGCGTGTGAGTTATACAACTTTGGATCCTGCTGAAAATTTAGCAGAGATCTGCATATAGATTAAAAACAACAAGAAAGAAATCTCAAAAAAAAAAAAAAAAAACATTCTAAAAAGGTTGGATAAAGGGTTATTACAAATTTATATTAAAAATGTGACAAGTTCTTTGAATTATTTTAGCTTATGCGTTCATAACACACACTCTGTGAGCCAGATAAGGAAACTAAAATTAATATTTAAACATGTGCAGTAAAACTCACACAAAATTTTTTTTTTTAGAATTTTTCATTGCATTTTTTCTTTGTGATTTCCCCTTTGAATCTACCTATTATTTATAAATCTAAATATAAGAATGCATTCGAATATTTGATCAAATGTTTTTCCCTGAAGGTACAATATAATTTTTGTGCTAATACTTTTAAGTAAATCAACTGATTTTTTTATATTGCTTATATTGCTGTAAGTCCTCGATTAGAATAATTTCGAATAATAAAATTTATTATCGTCAAATTGACAGCAGTTTTTTCGTCAAAGATTTACGTTCTGTCGTAGACTTTTGATATGAATATGTCTACTGCGTCCTTTAGGAACTTCTCTTATTATTAATTATGAAGGCATCTATCTATCTATATACATATGTATATACACACGTACCTATGAAAGAATATTCTCATTTCATCTACACACATACATACATATGTATGCATGTGTATGTAATATTAGCTAATTCAGTTTTGACTGTTTCATTACTTTTGAAGGTTGGCAGATTTCTGTTTTTGTGTTATGCAGAACCTTCTTTTTAATGTACCTACTAAATAAGTTATACTTGTAATAATGAAGTGAAACCTATTTTAATTTCATAAATTATATTTATTACAATTCTAATAATAGGTAAACAATACGATTATCTAAATATACATACATACATACATACATATATCCTACACATGTTTAAAATTAACATTGTAATTTACATTCAAATAAAGCAAAAATTCGCAATGTTACGACAATTTATAAGCGCAAAGCAAGCAAAATCTCTACCCCTAAAATGGAATAGTCTAAAAAGCAAAATAAACAGAGACAAAAAAAAAAAAAAAAA